TCTAGGACTCGAATCGTGGACGCGCACTGCTGAGGAGTCCCATACTAGGAAGAAACGGTCGTCCAGTGCTTCCAGGTTTTTCATGGTGGTCTAGCTTTAATTGACTCATGAGCTCAACTATTAAAATTACTATAATATCCATGAAAACCCCCTTCTTATAGATACAATTTTATTAGTAAGGCAAAACTTAAGTGTGATCTAATTTACTCAGTAAGGTTTTTCACTATCCTATCTAAATAAGCACTTCTAATTACTTTCGCTAAGTAGTTTTGAATGATCAATGTAAAGCACTTACCCTCACACTACAATTTAAGTGGATTATGTAATACATCCCATCATACGTATAAATTTATACAAGAACCAGTGGTTCACAACAACAACAAGGACTATGTAGAATAAATATAGTATGTCTAACAGAGGAATCCAGGACGTGCATTTACAGTTACTTGAGCCTCATCAGTCGGATAGTGATGAATGACAGAACTAATGTTCACTCAATGATTCGAACTCAGTAACTTTTGTTTTAATCGCCAACGTATTGGTCACTTAGATATCGAGTCTAGATATTCAATCACTTGTGGAACACCTATAAAATTTTTATATCACTTCCAATGATTCAAATTATTCCGTTGTTGATATTTTGATATTCTTTAGTACCCAGGGATCTGAATGATTTTTATAGAAATATACATCCTGACTATCCTTGTATATAATCATCAACTTAATTCACATTAGTGAATAACTGAATTAATTAAGTCAAATAAAAGAATGGATGTTTTAATGCGTATATTTCATGCAATCGTTGATCCAGGCAAACGATATGAGAAATGTAGCGAAGAGAAGAGAGAGAAGCCAAATGACGCGCAGCAGAGAAGGCTCATGAGCCAACTCCATTTCATCGATCGTTAATCACTATTTATAGCCACATAAAAATAAGTTACAGATATGTGATGAATAGGATAAGAAATGTACACACACATACTCTCATACAGGAACAGTCAAGGTTAAGTGAATAATTAATTACAAGGTCAAAACTTGACTCAAAAAGAATGGATGGATAAATTGGCCTGTCCAGAAGCTAGAATAAGTTATGTAGGCTTAACATAACAACCAACACTACAATTCTAATACGGTGAGACTATAATTTATGGGCAACCTTCGAGTGACGCCAAAGTGACCTTTGGAGTGTCTACCTACTTACTAAGGTTAAATGAGGGTTATAAAGCAGTTCGAAGAATGATTTAGAGTTGATGGTTAAAGTTAAGAATTAGGTTCCTGGTTTTCACATCACGAACTGACATCATCTATAATGGCAAAACTCTATTTAGCCAAATGTATGAATGAATTTTGTGCCGAAATCCCAGAGATCTGTTATCTTACATACGTGATTGGTTAGTTCATAAATTATAGTCTCAACGTAATTTTCCTTTAGTTATGTATTGTGTGAATTTTTTCTGATAATTCCATTTGTAAATCAGACAAGCTTCTTAACTAATCTATAGTGGTAATAATATGTTATTGGAAAAAAAATAAGCAAACGAATCTCCATGATATTTCGACTATGGTGTTTTAAGCAAACTTCCCAAGTTTATATATATATATATATATATATATATATATTCCCTGTAGATTGGTAGATTCTTTTTTGACTTAGATTTATGGATACATCATAAAAGAAAAATCCTTTAATAGTAGTAAATTATACATCAAAATGAAATCGGAAAGTAGTCTGAAAGAAAATATGATGTAGATTCAATTAAAATAAAGATTATAATAAGTATTAGATTTTAATGGTTGAGATCATGAGTCAATTGAAGCTAGATCACCATGGAAAACCTGAAAGTATTGGACATCCGTTTCGTCCTAGTATGGGACTCCAGAGCAGCGTGCATCCAAAATCCCACCTGGCGAGATTTGAACCCAGGACGTATCGGTCTCACGCCCGAACGCTTAATCTCTAAACTACTGAGCTGACCGGAATCCAACGGAGTTAATGTCTAACTTCAACTAATCCATGACATTGAAGCACCGTACACCATTGTCTTCAGTCAGTTACTATCTCACTACAGACCTGGTTGAACTCCAGTGGTCAGTGCTTCTCACTAGAACTCCAGGAAACACCTCTTGAAACCAGTAACTAGTGTGCACATGATAAGTATTATCAGAAAGAGGATTTTATGGATATTATAGCAATTCTAATAGTTGAGATTGTTAAAATAATCCATTGAATTTCTCTAGATTCATTTGTCTAAAGTTGAACGCTTACAACACCCAAAAAGATTATGCTCAAAACTTTCTTTTTTTTGATTTCTTGATACTGTTACCCATTGCTATTTCAAGCTTCAGTCACTCTGAAGAGATGCGATATGTATTTTTATCTCTTCTGACATATCTGACTTATTTGGCTTTGTTTGAGTTCGACTGAATCTTAAATCGTCAGAGTATGCCACAATCATACTATGTCTTTGAGAGGAAACTTATGTTAATTCGCCCTTAGTTTTCCAATTGTTACTTGATGATATCAATTGAAATAGATCTTTTACGACCGCTGAATGATAGACAAATAAGTAGTAGAAAAATACGATACTCGTCTAGAGTTACTTCATTTTGATAACTGACTAAGTTTGTTTAAACTTAGACTGAATAAAAGAAACCATGAATAGTCATATTGTAGTGAACGAGAACATAGGTGGGGATAACCGAATGTAATTGAATGCAAAATTACAGAATCGCTTAGTAAAACTGAGATCCATACAGTAAACACTTCATCTGAAAAATGTCAATCAATCATCTCAAACTTGATTGTTCCTTCGTTTTCACCCCAATCATTCTCTGTCGTCGTTCTCTTATCTTCGATTCTCTTAACCTTCTGCCGTCAGGTATTTCTCTTTTTATTGATAATACATACTACTTATATGGATCTACATCAGTAGCACACTCCATGATATAACTAATTGTATAAATTCTATTTACTTACTGATAGAGACAATTTACAACTTAGATGCATCCTATTAATGACATCAAATTTTTGCGCTAATCAATTTAGTTGCAAAGACTTCATTGTATTCCTGAACAAATCATTAAACCCTATTCTAAGGAGAGTTGGGTTTTTCAGAAACATTATTCTACAAGTTGCGAATCCTCCCATTCTGATGATATAATCATGAATGGTCGTCTTTGTAGATTTTGTTGTTTTAGTTTACCTTCACACTGTCGTTAAATATTTAGTTTAGTTGAAAAATCATGATGTGGCTAAATGATTTTCTCGTCTGATATCACTGTCGATAAAGTAACACATAAATAAATAACTCTGTTTTCAGTAAGATCTTCATCAGGTTTACTCCGGAATACAGTAAAATTTATATTCGTGCATAAGAATTATGAAACCAATCGCGACTATTTACGAGTTCATGCGAACAATGAATTCGATCACCTAATTAAACATAATAAGTAAACAGTACTGATTGGTAGTGTGATGACAGGGGTACTAGTGTTAATAAGAATGATAAAGGCTTGACAAAACATTTCATAATAGGAGGTAGGTCAAAAAGAACTTGGAAAACTAGACACTGGAATAACATTCAGTAAAAATTATTAAAACTACCTGATTTGATGGATTTAAATAACTAGACAGTGAAGAATATGAAAAACGGAGCCAGGAAAAATAAAGGAGAAAAAGTGTATGGAAAATGATAATAAGTAAAATCATGGTTAGGAAAAATATATGACAAAAATAATATTTATTTTTATTCTATCACGCTTAGTCGATAGCGATCATACAGTAGAGAGAAATTGTTGGGGACGTTAGATCCTCAGAACTCACTTGGAAAAGGACATAATTTCGTAATGTTATTTAGAAAATTTGAATTTCTTTGTTTTCGCGCCAAAACGCTCTTTTCACCTTCATGTCGTATTTCCCACTTAGAATACAGGACGTACGTCTCGTCCTAACTAAGACTTGAACCCAATACTGTTCACTTCAAACGCCATCGTGTTATCCACTTAGCTACTGAGTCCCATTAGTTACTTGCTTTTACAATGGGGTGAAGTTTAAATTCACTTGGTATCGTTTTACTTGAATCTTTCCATTGATGTTTAGGACGGAAATCGATCAATCTTTCATTGGCATATGTGCATACTGCATCTTTAATTATAATGCTTGTTAATTAAGGCAATATCTAGGCACAGTGTACACATATGCCGATAAGAGATTGGTCAATTGTAATGCTAAATATTAATGTTAACTGATGGATAGTGACTCGCGTTTCATCCTATTTGGGACTCGTCAGCTAGATATACCTGCATCTTAGAGTTGATATTCAATCTAGAACTCAAACTCAGTACCATTCAGTTCAAACGCTATCACATTATTCGCTTAATTACTGAGGTCTAATAAGCACTTGTTAAATCAGTTACATTCCTAAACATTAAATGAGAAGATTCAATTAAACAATACCAAATGAATTTTACTTTTATCACTTTCATGGCTTAATTAAACTTAACAACTAATTTTACAAATATCATTCTTATTTTATTTTATTTTGCCACTAATAAAATCTATAATGTAGATCTCAAGTAAACTATAACTGACTATTTCTATTAAGATTGACATATAACTTTATATTGAAACATTAATAAAGTGCCAATTCATAGTATAATTCAATTTAATGTTTTCATGTTCTTACAATGATAATTGATTTTCTTATTTTTATTTTATTAAAATGGATAAAATCACGTTTTCACAACATCAATCATAATAATAATAATAATAATAATAGCAATAACAGCAATAATAGTAATATTAATGATAACAATAATAGTAATAATAATAGTGATAATAATAACAATAAGAATAACAATAATAATGCTAATAGTATTAACGATAGTAATAACAATAATAATAATGGTAATAATAATAATAACGATAATAATAGTAGGAATAACAATATATATATATATATATATATATATATATATATATATATATAATATTATAAGATATTGAAACAAAAATATAAACAAAAGAAAATAATAAGATAGGAGGACACTTTTAAGAAATAAATCCAGAACAAAAATGAAAAAAAGACGAAAGAGAAAAAAAGAAAGAAAAAACTTTTTGGATATAAATCTTTTTTCAAAATAAAGTTGATAAGGTCAAAACATTCGGATTATTATTTTTTCTAAAATAAAAAAAGAGAAAATCAAAAAATAAAATCAATTTTTAATCATTTCTTATTCTTTTAGATAATAAACAATTGTTATTGTTACAAAAAGCTGGATAATGTTAGAAAAAAAAAACATGATCTTTAAAATTAGAAGATATATGTTGGTTATAGATGTTATCATTGAACAATTTTTTTATGATTCCGGAACAATATTGAGGTTAGTGATAAGTCAAATAGTAGAACAATAAAAATCATGAATTGATATTAGCTAAACAACCATTAAAAAATTTGGAATCATTGGAAGGCAATTGTTTTCTGAATATAAAACTCCTCTGAAGTGAACATTCTTGCACTTGAATGAGAGAATCGAACCTAAGACCATTGGTATCACACGTAAACGTTTAACCTCTAAATCAATGAGGAAATACTACAATCTCCACAAATCCTGTATACAAATAGTTGAACATCAGTTATTTAGGTCTCCAGTTTTCATCGATTAAAGTGATTAGGACGTGTTACGTCCATCTAACTATCAATTACCACGACGGACAAATTTCACCGATATATCAGTCGGTTGATAAATTTTTAAGGGCTCCCAAACTAAAACGCGTTAACAATTCATGAAATCTGTTAACTGATGGTTTGAGCCATGTGGTAGATGCACACAAGTGGTTAAGGTTCATGTGATAACCACAATTAGTGGTTACAAATTTTCAGTAACATCGATCAGAATCGTTCATAATCGCTCACATGCATTCACTCTATATCATACACTAGATCCTGAATTCCAATATTTCATCATATATCATTGCTATAACAATGTAACAGTCTCTTCTGTTATTCATCTAAATAATTGTATATGGTCGTGGTAATATAGTGTAGAAACATGATCCAACGTACGTCAATGCCGGGATATAGATTAGTGATCACTGACTAACTTTGTAAATAAATACTACTAGACTATAGTAATGAAACACTTAACTCATTTAAAACCTCACTAATATCTAAATTATTTGTAAATTCACGTAAGTACATTTAATAATAATAAATCAATCTTATTTCTAGTGTGTTGAACAAAAAATAATTATATTCTATTTTCTTTCTAGTTAGTTAAATATTGTCCAAGACAGAGTTGGACAGAAAGTGTTGGTGGGTGGTCTATCCTCTTCCACGTGGAGGAATAAGCGTAAGTAATGTAAGTTAGTAAATATTATATGTGAAATCATTAAATTGAACAAATGAAGTGTGAATTAATAAATTCGGCAATAAAATCAACTTTAAATTCTAATCAGATACATTTTAAAAGACAATACCATTGAGTAACTAAGGTAATCTATTAAAATAATCAATTGTATTGTTACTGTTATAACTTGCAGTCTATGTGCCTTGTTAATATATACGTAACGATACCACCAATTAGAGAACATTCAATTACCGATCGGACCAATAACACATAAAATCCCGTACGAGCAGTCTAGAGTACTTATTGATCCTGATTCCTGCCTAGCCCAGCCTGTTAAATCCAGAACACAAATCTCAGCCTCTGTGATATGAATCATTTATTTCAAGCATACTAGGTTTATATACCAACCAAACAGACCACATCGTACCATAAAATATGAAACAACATTTGTACAAGATTTAGCCAAATGTGGTTGTGAATGGGAGAGGTAGTAATTAATGGACTGGGCATAACTCAAGGATGGTAAATCGTATAATGTCAGTCAGTCAGTCAGTCAGCTACAACGTAGGACCAGGTACATATATGCATCGGTAAAAGTTGCCATACCGGATTAGCACAACAAGATGAACACCGGATACGTAGTCGTAGTTACTTCAATGGGGGTAATATGTAGAAGAAAGATTGCATATAAAAGTATAGTGCAGGAAGAAAGGATTAGTTCGTAGAAAGAAAGGTATGAAGTGGTTTTACTCTCCTAGTTTAAGGGAAGACAGGGTGTGTATACACCACCTACGCCATTGTGACCGATTCTAAGCCATTTCACCAAGAATCTCCAAACATTGGTTACGATAGTCACGCGGACCTCAACCAAGTAGTCTGCATTTACCAACATGGCTCAGACCAGAAGTTAGTGACTTCAAGCACTGATGCCACGTTTTGGTTTGGCCGCTCCTAACTTTCTTCCAACCATCCCCAACACTAGTCAGCATTGCATGTCGTGATAATCGGTGTTCAGGCATATGCAATACGTGACCCAACCATCTCAGTCGATGAAGATTCACAACCTCATCAACTGATTTACCATCATTCCCTAATACCCTGCGTCTAACCTCACTATTACTTACCCGGTGATCCAAGCAGATTCCAGGGATAATAATAGTTTAATAGTATAATAATAGTTCATAGGTCAAAATAAAGCTCATAATAAGAGGAACACGAATATGAATAGTTTAATTATTCAACAATTATACAATTAAAATTTACACATAGTATTTTTCCATAAATGGATCCTAAAAGTTATCATTCATTATGCTTATCGGGACATAACAGTTACTATGTAAGATATCTAATCAGCATAGTTTTGCATATAAAGTTACAAATAAATATGTAAAAATAATTTTTAAAAAATGGGTTGGAAATTTTAAAAATGATCTTGTAGTATTGGTTGCTATGTTAAGCTCATATACCATATTCTACATTCAGGACAGGCCAGTCTATTCATTCTTCTTAAATCATAGTTCGACCTCGTTCATTACTTGCTTATTATCCTTGACTGTTTTTATGTATGATCGTATGTGTGTGCACTTTAATAACGATAAACACACGATCGAACTGGGGTCAGATCACAGGTCATTAAAATCTTTTCAGTTTTATCTTTTGTAATAATAATATTAACTTTTAAATCATTTATAAAATTAGTTTTATGAACACCAACCAAACAGTCATATCTGAACGAGCTAAAGGTGAATAGTTTTACAGCTGACTTTGACTATAAACCCTAAATAATGAAGAGAAATGATCTAAATAATAATAATATATGTTTTTATATTACATAAATGATCATGGAATAAAATCATTATTACTGATACCATACCCATTAAAAAGTGAACGGCTTTCTAGACTCAGTAGTTTAATGCATAGAAAGTCGGCGTTTAAAGTAAATGGTGCTTGGATTGAATCTCATTGTAAACATACAACCTACCAGTGTCGAATATGACAAAACCTACTTTCTGGATTTCATTGTTAATTACAAAACCGTCTATCGTAAACAAAACCCATTGGACTTGTTTTGACTAGGAAAAAAACGGTGATATAAGAAGCTAGTATTAAGTAAGCCTTAACCCGGCAATCAGAAGTAACTGGTGTTACATTGCTGGTATAGTGATTAAATCTCTCAGTTTCTAACTATCAGGTTTAAATCTCATTTCAGTTACTTCGATTAGGGTAATTATACTAATATCAGAACGGGTTTTGTGGAGATTTTAGAAATTTCAATAGTTGAAATCATGAATCAATTGAAGCTAGACCACCATACAAAACCTGGAAGCACTGGACTCAACCATTGAAATTTCGAAAATCTCAACAAAGCTCCTTCTGATAATAATCACCTGCTCACTAGTGACTGACTTCAAAAGGCATTTCCTGGGGTTCTAGTGAAAAGCTGTGACCAGTGGATTTTAACCAGGTCTGTTGTCAGATATCAGCACACTGAAGACAATGGTGTAGGGTGGCTCAATTTCGTGGATTGGTTGAAATTAGACATTAAAACCGTTGGATAACGGCTTAGTGGTCTAATGGTTAAGCGCTCGCATGTGAAATTGATGTGTTCTGGGTTTGAATCTCTCCGGGGGCGGAATCGTGGATGACCACTACTGAGGAGTCCCATACTAGAACGAAAAGGTCGTCCGGGGCTTTCAGGTTTCCCATGGTGGTCTAGCTTCAATTGACTCACGATTTCAACAATTGAAATTATACTAATAGTTCTTTTCCTTAAATCCGAAAATTCTATTTCTTCATTTAATCAATAAGTTAAAAAATTAATTCTCAATTTCTACCGTTTTATTTTATAATTCAGGGGATAGTAAACATGTCCGTAAGTTTGTAACACGTCCTCCTCTCAACATATTTCCAGTAACTAGCATTTTCCCGTTCATATAGTGAGTGATTGCAGTAGATAAGCGCATAATTTTCATTGAGAACTTTAGTCCAGGCAGTATCTTCTACTTCATTGATTTTTTAACCTATAATCAGTGGAGCTAGTACGTGTCAGGTAGAGATAGGTATCTACCACATACAATGGAAGATGGTCACGCAATTTTGTGGGTTGGTTGAAGTTGGACGTTAATACCTTTGGATGCCGGTTCAGCGGTCTACAGGTTAAACTTTCGTGTGCGAGACCGAAGGTCCTGGGTTCAGGTCTCGGGTTTGGGATTGTGGGTGCGCGCTGCTGAAGAATGACATACTAGAACGAAAAAGCCGTTCAGTGCTTTCGGGTTCTGAATGGTAGCTTAACATTGATCGATTCATGATCTCAATTAAAAACTTAATAAACTCCACAGTTCCATATTGATAAGTTAGGATGTGTTACAGTTTCCTATGTATAGAAGATATATGTAGATGATTTTAGATGGTTGAAATGAAATCTTTAGTAAAAATTACACTCTTATATGCAATAATGACCTCTTAAATGAACAGAAGAATGCTCAAAAATGAAAGATATTCCATTTTTATTGGACAGTAAGAAATGCTAGCGGTCCTCACACTGCTTCACTAACTCTAATATAAAAACTTCATCTTTACAGTTCAATTCGATTGTTGTTTTGGTTCTTTTACCTTCTGAAAACAAAAACAGTCCTGATCACTGAATAACATTTTAAAAATTCAACGACGGACATTTAAACTAATGTAAAAACAACTAATAAGTGTTTGTATAGAAACCATCATAGTCTACATCCCCTATAAACTATGAATTCTTTCCCTGTATTTAGAAATAATTTATTCTTCCCCTTATCACATATTGGTAATGTTTCATTCTGATAAACAATCAGATTCC